CTGCAGCCACGGCTGCAGCCCACGGAGGGCAGGGCCTGCCACCAGCCAGCTGAAGCCCCGATGCTGGCGCCTGCCGGCACCCCCACAGAACACCGCAACCGATGAGGCCCACACGCCCAGCGTCCACCCCCACGTTCCTGGGGCAGACAAGGGCAGCGTCTCAGGCACCATGGAAGCCCACTGCCCTCCCTAGACCAGCTGGCCAGCCTGTGCTGCCCCAGTACCCACGTGGGCGCCCAGCCGTGCCCAGGAGCCAGGTTACCATCTTGTGCGGGGGATGTACCGACATTGATAAACTGCAGAAGCAGGCAGTGGACGGCAGATGTAAGTATGAATCTTTAATTATTAGGGATGACCATCAGAATGAATGTTTGGGGGCTCACCTGAGGGTATTTCAGTGAGTTTAGATAGAGAGGAAAGGAGAGAGAGAAACATGGAGAGGGGAACATTGATCAGTTGCCTGCCATATGCAGAGGGGAGCAGGGGTGAGTGGAGGAGAGCAGGGGTGAGCAGCCGCCAGGGGCGCACGTGGCCCACCACCTATCACAGAAGATGTCTGCCCACCCTGCCCCAGACACCCTGGAGCTCTGCTGTCCACCGTGTGAGCATGGGGTCCACCCCACTCTTGGGGTCCCATGCTGAGAGGGGGACACAGGACAGAGCCCCTTAGAGTGACTGTGTCCACCTCTGGCCACCTGAGCACGAGCTTTGAGGCCCAGGCCCCACTGACGAAGGTGCCCACATGCCCACTTGGGAGGCTGATGGCACGCCATTAGGAACACGCGGTGGCCCGCACAAGCATGCATGCACGCGTGCCCGCGCACGGAGAGGCTGGTAATGACACTGGGGTTTGGATGGATACAGTCACAGCCCAAGATCAATATGAGAATTCCTGAGTTACAAGAATGAAATATATTTTTCATTGATTTGTTGTTTTAAACCATTAAAAAGATGGGTAAGCGTGTTAGAGCGGGGTAAATACTCGGGGCACTAAAAAAACACCACCATTTCACACTGCGGTAGAAAATCAATCTCGCCGACGTACTTTCCAAGGGAAGCCGGAGAGCAGGTGCGCGGGCGGCACGCGGCTTTCAGGGGAACTTTCAGGGGAGGCTGGAAGGGAGGGCCTGCGGCCCCGGCACCACCCGGCGTCGGACTCGGTGCAGGGCTTGGTGCAGACTCACTCCCACGGTTGCTTTAGGAAGAATCATGGAAATGCCCAAATCTCCTTTTTTGTTTAAATTGATGAGTGGCACCATCCGCCCGGAGCATTAAGGCAGGCGGGGCGGACGGATCAATCCAGGAGAGGAGGCGAGGCGGCCCCGCAGCCAGCCTCCGCCTGACACTATTGATTTTGCCCAGTTCAGCTGGCCTTGTAATTAAAATGTAAATTTGAGAAAGAGATTGCGTCCTGACAGACGCAGGATTAAGGGGAAGATAAAAGCCCCTCCGTGAAAACTCCGAGGAAATGCGAGCTCCGTGTCCTGGGCTGGCTCCGGCGGACCAGGAACAGCCGCAGGCCCCGCGCCCAATGAGCAGTGCCGGGTG